CCCGACTTTTATTAGTGCAAAGTAACTTCAACAGTTGGGAGGGTAAAGTGGCAGATCGATAGATTAACATAATATTAACTATAAATAGGAATAATTATCAGTATATGCATGATGACAATCGAGGTGAGACCATACATCATCTGCAGCTCAGTTACACAAATTATAAAAAAATTTTTTATACACTTTTAAAGTACTTTTTCAAAGGGCTTGCATAACCCATTTCAACTATCAACGTCGCTAAGTTTATTAACAAAACTTGAAGTATTCAAAGTGTTCTACAACATATTTCGTTAATCCTAGTTAATTCCACACCATTGTTTTGCTATTTACTTGCAAAAATATGCCTCAAGAAAAGGAATGCTTGGAATGCAGATCTACTGTGTCACCTAAATTTCGAACATTAGTGAAGGAAAAATGGACAGGGGCTAATAATAATGGTTTGAAAGCACTGTGGAAGGAGAATTTTATCATATGTAACAAATGTTATATGCATTTCGTAGAAAATCCTTTAAGAAAAGGTTCTGCACGAGTAAATGAAGAGGTTGGGCACGAAGAGAAAGTAGGTTCAAACGTTAATCTTTTTGAAGCCATCAACTCGATGGCAAAAATTCTTTATGATAGAGAGTATGTTAAACATGAAAAACCTATTTATTCATTTGATAAAATGCAGCAATTATTTCAAGATACTAATCCAGAGTTAAAGGATTTTTTTGATCAACTTTATTTAGCAGCTCGACCGTTTAAACGTAATGCGCAGACAATGGATCATATGAAAAAATTGATGTTGTTCATATGTTATTTTCTTGCTTCATTAAATAATTCTAAAATTAATGCATTTAAGTTCGATGTAGCAAATTATTTAGATTCAACAGGCACAAGTAATGAAGGCTTGAATACGATGGCCAACCTTGGCATTACTACGAAGTCTAGATCAGTAAATAGAAAGAAGAAAAGAATGTCTAATATACACGGAAAATATGTAGAGAAGGCACTTGAAAATTATTTGGGGAATGCTCTCATACTTAATATAGATGATTTTCATAATATTTACGTTTCTCAACAGCCTGATTCTCCTATTATGTCCCATCCAATACACATGGCAACTGTTATAGCAAATCCGTCTTCTATATCAGCAATACTACGCGATAATGTAATCAATCCAAAGATCATCGATAGTGTGTTGATTAGAAGGCACCTAGACGAGAGATTTATCGTAAATCTCAGTATTTCATACTATTTTCGTAGGCAAGATCACTAAGAAAAATGTTCTGATAATGATCTTATAGAAAAACTGACAGTGCATAGCTACAACGATAGATTAGCAGAGAAAAAAAGTGAACAGCATATACAGGACGCCATTCTCTTCGATTTTGTTGAAAGTAAATTGAAAGGCATAGGTGACTATACGAATGCTCTTCAAATCATATATGACCAAGAGCCGATGCAAAAATACCTTTCCAACTATGCAATTTCTGTTGTTGCTGATTGACCTGGTCAGCTTTATATTCGTAAAGCAATTGCACATCGGTTCTTCATTAATAATGAAACCATTCCTCAATTCGTCACGTCATTTTTGCCTATGATGAGTCCTCTTCATGTATTCTTAAATGCGCGTAAACTTATTTTTTTGCAGAATTTATTTTTATTTAATGATTTTTACAGAAATATATTCAAGGTAAAAAAGGATCTTGGTAAGAAACCATGGCCATGGAGAATCGATTTAATTCTCCATATTATGCACATGGCGTGGTTAAACATTTCCGATATTGTTTACCGAAAATTTGGTTGTACATACAAGAATATTGAATTTCTCTATCTAACTGATATACTGAGCAATTTAATCCCTTTAGCTCTCGATGTTTATACTGTGCATCATCGGAAAGGTGATTGGCTAGCTTACGAAGAAGCTTGCATACATTGTTGGTGCGATCTTTTTCTTCGATTCGACCGAAGAAACTATAAACGTGCCCCTTTAATGTTTTTTTCTGATGTTTTTTATTGGATGGAAATTAATCATTTAATGTTTCAAATGATTACTAATAAACTCGCTTTATTAAGTGATTGCCCTGTAGAACTTGCTCACAGTATTATTCGACGATGTACACAAAAGTTTTTCATCGCTCAACAACTACGGACGACAGTACATTGTATCTTTCAAAAATGAGAGGATAATTCATTTTAACAGCACTTTGTCGATTCTGTAAAATATTCATATTCACCAAAAAAATTAAGCATGCTTTCCCGGAAGTGTGCTATACGGCTTTTAGACGTGTTTATGAAAATATATCAATCACGGCAAGAGTGTCCTTTAATAATTAAATCTTCATCTAACAACATTAACATGTACAAATTGCCTTCCTTAGGTTATTAAATAACAGATCGGCATCTGCTACGAGGATTCATCACTTTTAAAAAGCCCAATACAGCAATTCTTTGTGATTACTTGTATTGTGATTATTCTGTATTAAACTATTCAATCGACGGTATCGTTCTGGCGTGTGGGCATGGTTATCATAACCATTGCTTACAAATGTGCCAATATAAATGTTTGTTATGTTTAGAATATCTTTATGATAAAATTGAAGAGAACGTCGATGCACTTATAGAAAGTTTAACAAAGAAACTGGACGAAAAAGAATCCGTTGAAGAAGACAAAGATGTAGCCGAAGATGATTTGACTAGCGCAGATGAGGTAACAGACGATGGCACAATAAAGGAGGGTTTATTAGAACATGCAAGAGAGTTATTCTTTAATTTATTATAAGATTGTAAATTTTATTACTATATAGTCTTTATTATTTTTAATTAAATAATATTTACACGATTTATGTGTCATAATAAATTTATATTATGTTTAATTAGATAGTATTTACACGATTTTATGTGTCATAATAAATTTATAGTATAATATTATTAATAAATTAATTTCGAAATTAACGATTTTGATTGGTCGATCTGTGACGTCATATCTTCGGAAATTATCGGTAGCGATCTGCAGTTTGTGTAACCGAGAACGGTCCCTCCTCGATGATGACAATCATCCGCTACGTATACGTATCGCTCGCTCCAGAGTTTTGTACAATTATTTTACAATATATTAGTCAGAATCAAGTGTTTTTTATATTATTCGACTCGTCTTGATGAGGCGAATCGAGTGGTATAAGAATCATTAGATTCCAGTTGATAAACTAAGGTTTAACTTCAATAATATGTTATCCGCCACATTACCCACCCCCGCCAGAATACCTCCCTCTACCTTATATTTATACAGAATAATATATACGTATTTATATCTATATATTAGATTTATTATAAAGTCAAATTCCAATTAAATATATAGTATATCGATATATATATATTTATATTATAATTAGATAAGATTTAGCAAACAAATTTGTTAGATTTAAGACTTAGAATAAAAAATTAGCAACATCATATATGCTAGGCCGAAGTTTGGTCGGAACAGTACTCTGACATCTGTTACACCAGTTCTTGTCCATGTCTGCACGACAATGTCGCCGTAGAAATGCTGCATTCAGTACCCGGGGTGATGCATAAGAAAAAGTTTCATGTATCGGTATTTGTAAATATATACTATTTTTAATGTATTATCTGTCACACGGGTACTGAATGCAGCGCTCTACAGATATACGTACGTACGTACGTTACGTACGTACGTACGTACGTACATATCCTGTTCACCTATATAGTAAAAAAGGCTTGTGCTAATCACACCAGGGTGTCGGCATCAATACTATATATATCGTATATATTAGAATTATAGTTTGAGTCTCAGTTTGGGTCTCCAGGCTTTTTTTATTTTAATACCTAAAGCATTACCATAGTTTTTGAATATAGTAACTATAACGTTAAACATAACTGATGACTTAGTAAATTCATTATTTAAAACGCTTCATGTCGATATACAATACAAATAAAGAAAACCTAATGTGCAACACAACACCTCAATATTGTTGAACTATAAAAAGAGATTACGGAAGAAAATTCTAATTTTGTACAACTATTTTTACAAATTTCAATTTAATAGTAACGATATAATATATTACATATAATTTTATTTCCCTATACAAAAATAAGCTATAAATATAATTATATATTATTGAATATTGTATACAACATAATCATCTTTCAATATTTGTAAACAACATTTTGTTCCATTTTTCATTAAAATGAGTTAAAAATAATAAATAAAAAAAAAATTCTAATAAAAGGATAATAACAAAGTTTGTTTGTATAATTAAAAGACTTATTTATATTAGAAGTTATAGGATCGAATAATGATAGAAAACTTCGTAATTATAAACAAATAAAAATAATGACAAGTTTAGCTTGATACAGTATGCTATCAACCCTTTTTTGAATCTTTAAAAATACTTTGCACTAATAGATGTTACAAAAATTATGGTTGGAATAATTTTTTCAAATTAAATAAATGTTAAATGCAGTCAAAGCTCGATTAATACTCAGGGCAGAACTTCAAATTAAGTAATGACGTTTGTAATATCATCAAGCCCAAACCTATAAATGAAGCAAAAAGAGAATAAATGTAAACAATCGAATATATAATAAAAAGATTGAAAGAAACATGTCATATAAATATAATCACCTTTAATAATGAATCCCAACTGCCCGTGCACAAAGCCATACCATCACTTGATACTCCTAAGCAACTAACACGATTCTCGTGTGATGCTAAAACACCAACACGTTCACCCTTCAATGTATCCCAAACATTACAGTTGAAATCATCGTAACCTGCAAAAAGGAGACGGCCAGAGATAGAAAATGCAACGGAAGTAATACCACAGAGGATATTATCATGTGTATATTGATTAAGTTCCCTATCAGCACGAAGATCAAACAATCTACAAGATGCATCATCAGAACCGGTTCCAAATGCATCACCATTTGGGAAGAATCTAAATATAGGAAAGGAGTAAGAAAAGAACAAATTTGGTAACTTATATACATATTTTAACTTACTGAACAGCATTGATATCTGATTCGTGACCTGTGAATGTTTGTACACAACGACCAGTTCTGATATCCCAGACTTTTGCGCTAGCGTCACAGGCGCCAGAAACAAATATTTGTTGGTTTGGGGCAAGAGACAGACTATACACAACAGATAATCGCAAAGTATCAGTAAAATGCATACGCTAAAAATAATTTTAAAAATTAATAAATTATAAAATACCTCATTACGTCACCAGTATGATCATTAAACTCTAAAGTTTTCATGCCAGCATCAATATCCCAAAGCATACAAGTCATGTCACCTGATGATGTCAAAATTTGCCTATCATTAAGAAACCTACAGCATGAGAGGTAACCTGTATGAGAATTCAATTCTCGTGCAACTTTAACGGAACCTTCTTTCGTTTTAAGATTATAGATAGAGCAAATATTGTCCAAACCACCACAAGCAACAAAGTTGCCAGATGGTGCGTAGGCACAAGTCATAACCCATGAAGATCTAAGGGGAATAGCATGAACCTTATTTGTTGTAGGAGCGTCCCAGACGATAAGTTTACCATCTTGTGAAGCAGAAACAAGGTGACGTTTATCTGATGCCCAATGCATTGCATAAATCTTGGCAAGATGTCCTTTGAGGACGCGACGAACTTTCATTACAATTCTAGGTAGAGGGTCAATCTCAGCTGCCATTGCTCTCACTGTTAAACCGCCATAATTTGTCATAAACATAGAAAGGAATGGTAAATTAATATTTTAGACAGAATGTTCGAACCATTAAATTAATTAATTCCATGATAGTTTGACTAATTAGATTTTTTTTTTAATCAGACATCGCTCAGTTTTATTAAAAATCGAAAAAACCAAAATTATTTTTAATAAACACGTCAAGTATTACATAGCTACCAAGCCCGAGCTCAGGAACTTACAAGAGGTGTCGGCTAATCCATCTTTTTTCATCTTAATCTTCTCTTTTAAAGTTTCTGCTTCCTTCCGGGCTTCGGCTATTCTACTTGCGATGTCGGCCATTTTGTTATTTCAATTTCAAGGAAGGGATTAAGGGTTGGAAATCGTCACTTTTCGGGATGATGTCAAAAGGGAGAGAAAATAGTTTTTTTTTTTTTTTGTTTTTTTTTTTCCCTCACTTAAGTAACGTGGGTTAGGAATGGAAAAAGGGTGTTGGGTAGAGGAGGAGAAAGAAGGAAAGGCCACAGAAAAATTATAGAAGTGGGCCCAATTCTGGGTAATAATAAGTAATACGAGGCACAACGGTTCGATTGAGG